GGGGGGGGGGGGGATTTAAAAAACTATTCATTCATGGTTCGGGACCTTGAACTACAGGTTTTCATCTACTATGACCAAACTACATGTATTTATTGCATACATTCATTAACAGAGTTACGATATTTACTTTTCTGTAGAAACATCCCAATCTCAGGAGGATGCAAGAAGATAAGATTTTGAAGGTAAGATATTCCACATGATCTCCCCCCCCCCCCCCCCCCCCCAATTCCAAGTGTGTCTGGGCTAAAGAAGAGGGGGGAAAGATGAGAAGCAGATTGATCAGGTCATATTTTAGACAGATACATAGAGGAACCATGCCACAAAAATGTAGCTGTATCTTTATACTGATCCCGTTAAGTTCTTTGAATCAAAGCCCAAGACAAACATGGTAGTATTGGAAAAAAGTTGTTTTTTTTAATTAGTAAAGCAAACAGTTTATTGACCACCAAGGACAGCTTCATTCTACCAGTCCCAGCACTTTCTGCACAATCCAAGTTCTCATAATGATCACAAAGTCCGTTGAACAGTATTCCCATAATATGGCGAGGCAAAGACATTCAATTCACAGCTCAATGACCAATGTTCAAAATCAGGGACCAAAAACAGACAAAGTTGATGGTACAACTATCATTTGAACCCAAGAATATTTTTATCTTAAAATCTAACAATCAGAGAGTTACTTTCATTGAAATTTACAATTGCAGGGGGGGGGGGGGAGGAGGGGATATTTTCTGAACTTTTATTCATTTTATTCAAGAATCAAAGTCTCACAAAGAAAAGGAAAACTGTCACAATGGGCCATACTTCACCCTTCCTACTGAACCTTACAAACACATGTGATTTAAAAGATGATGTATACCTGGTACTCCAACAAGTTGAAATCCAGACACAAAGCGCAAACAACAACCCGATAAGAAGAGGACTTCACAACAACAAAAAACCCAAACTTTCTGGGTTGAAAACAAAACCACAGCATGACACGAACTTGACAAAATAGCTCTTAAAAGGTTTGTAATTTTTGGTGTCAAAGACCCGGTAGCTCTTGGCACTGCAACCCTATGCCATGCCATATATTCGTAATTTGATATCTAGTTGGGTAGTCCAACTGATGGGCCGTACTCAACGGAACCCTTTAAGGGCAACAACAAAAAATCCAGAACATTCCAGACTCTATGGAAACAAGCACATGGGGACTCAAAATTTTTGGATCACTTTATTTTACCACAACAAATTCCTGAAACTACGAAACCCGGACAATGTTGGAAATCCAGAATTCCAAATTTATCTTGAAAATCAGCTCAGAGTATGATCAAAGTCCAGCTGCCAGGGAAAGTCGACTCCCGAGCAAAATTGGGAAAGAAGGTCAGGTTGGTACACACTAAACGCAGCACTTGGTGGAGCCAGCTGACAACTACATAATAAAACCAATGTATAAGTTCCTTTCTGGGTAGTGCAGAGACAGATAGATGTCATACACACATTCTTCCCGAAAGTTCATTACTTGACTTTTGTCGCTCAACCCACAAGCAAACTGGCACAAAAACTAAACATTCAATAGTCTGCGTAGATGAACAAAAATGACAGTAGTAGTGGGTTTCCAAAATATAGTGCACTGCAATTCAATATAAAATCAGAGCTGTAACAGACACCAGATAAAGGAACCTAAGGAGAGTAAAGAATGGTACGGTCATTTATAAAGTAGAGCAAAATATATTTTCCTTAAACAATCAAGGACGATCACACAAATTTTGTAAATATGACATATTAATTAATGTAAAAAAACCAAATGAAACATCCCACGAAACAAAGCCCTCAGCATCAAGCTAATTTACAGAAAAACCACTTCAAAATTCAACGAAAAATTGAACCTTTAAGAGAGACCAACAACATAATTTCAAAAGTATATTCAGACATCACTTTTGACGTCAAAGATAACAGATAACACACACACATGGTACAGTTCGAAAGAAGTTTCAGAAGTATCCAAAATACATCTGACCCACAAAACTCAGATCATGTGGCCAAGCCAACTACTCTTGACTAAAACACACAACTTGCCAAGACAGAGAAAGCACAAAGTGACTGGCAATAGTCAAAGGAGACTAGGAACCAAGAAAAGCAAAAAAAGCACATTAATATTAATCCTCCAAGCATCTCTAACAAAAGACCTGTGGTGTCAGGAGAAGTTACATAACTTCACAATGGACCACTCAACTCATTATGTTGGAAAACAGTTGAACCTGTGTAGGACGGAATCACAAGGAAGCCAGAAAAAAATCTTAGACATTTTCCGTGGTTAGGCTCTCGGACTTGCAACCGTAAAGTCGTGGGTTTGAATCCTGTCAGGGGCCCGAAATTTTGTCCTTGGGAAAGGCACTTTGCACAAATTTTCCTCACTCCACCTAGGTGGAATTAAATGGGTACCCGGCTATAGACAGCGAACGATCTTGTCAGTTTGATAGTGCTTGTGCGGGTGAAATCCGCAGCTTGCACTGTATGCTTCCGCTGAAGCTGAGAGTGTTTCAGAGTGTTCTCAGAGGGTCTGCTGAGGTAATAAAGTTGTAAAGCACATAGAGCATGCTCTTGAGCATGGATGTACACTATATAAAATAAATGCAATTATTATTATTATTAAAATTTAGGGAGGAGATGGAGGGGGATTTCAAAGGCTCAGCCAGTGAGATCAAGGGTCGCATGTCCGGTCAAAAAACAGTGGTCAAAACTCCATACCTCTTAACTGCTGTCCTTTCTGATAATGACATTCACTTATCCAATTACCACCAGTGCTTGCAGAAACGACAGAACATCACCTTTGCTTCCACCCTTAGCCCCACCCATCGGTGTAACAAGTACAGTCAACCAATCCCATCCCTCACTACCATGTAACAACGATTCAAGGAGCTATTTTCTCGGCTGGTTGCATGATCATAGTGGCAGGCATTGGTAAATTGGTAAAACTAATTTTACACCTCTGGCTTCTGGCTACCAAGGAAAGTTTCAGTGGTGGCTCGCTACTCGAGCACTTTCACTGGCACTTGCGAGATTTCACACCCAACCCATCCTGAGCATCTGCATCGCTCAGGCCTCACATGATGGGGTAACATCTACCCCCAAGTTGCACCCCTGCTCCCCTCCCTCGCCCTGCGGCATGGCTCATGGCTTTAGGTTTAGAGCCGGCAGAAGCAAACTTGCGAGTTTCATTTCTAATCAGGGCTGAGCAGGTAAAACATTTTCATCTTAGATAGGAAAACCATTGGACGGGAGCGGATTTTTCTTTCCGTTTCCGCGTTGGAAAAGTTTCTGTTTTATACAGGTAATTAAAGAGGAATTTATCAGGGGGGGGGGGGGGAGAAGGAAGATTCCGTTAAGACAGGTTTCCATCAAAGTAGGTTCGACAGTACATGAGAACAGGGAACCCAGACAAGAACACAGACCAACAATTTCAGAAAGTACATGATGAAGTAGAGCTCATCCTGACAGCCCAGTAGCATAAGATTCCACCACAAGCCATTTCATTTTGAAAAGTGACATATATGACGATGTCTATCACTGAGCAGTCCATTTGTGAAGGATTAGAGTTAACATGTATGGTGAATGATATAATATATTATAAAAAAAGCGACTCAAATTACTGCCGATTAAATCGGCTTCAACACCACAGAACAAAACTAACAGCCGATTTAATTAAATTTTTCATCAACCATTGAAACTTGGAGGGTTAAAGCAGAGAGACAGACAAAAGAGAAAAGGAGAGCATGAGAGACAGGGAGCTACAAGGAGGGAGCTAAGGAGAAAGAGAGAGAGAGAGAGAGAGAGAGAGAGAGAGAGAGAGAGAAGAGAGAGAGACTGACAGACAGACAGAGAGAAAGAGAGAGAGAGAGAGAGAGAGAGAGAGAGAGAGAGAGAGAGAGAGAGAGAGAGAGAGAGAGAGAGAGAGAGAGAGAGAGAGAGAGAGAGAGAAACAGACAGACAGACATTATAAAACACTGGTTCACATTGTGTGAAGCATACCTAGATCTGTGTCCACTGATGCTGTCAGACGCAGCTCATCCTGGTCGGCAGAATCACTGCTCTTGTCTTGACTGAAAGATGGACAAAACGGCGAACATATCAGCATTACATACTGCACTCAACATCAACAACAACGAAAATTTAACATTCACATTCAGCAGTTGACAAAAAAATGTTTGTTAGAATTTCAAAAGTAAAAGGAAATTTCAAATGAATACCCATCTTGCAATATTTACAAGTTCATATCATTATAAAAAGCCATGGGCAGCCAACTTTTCAAAAACAAAAAAAAACAAAAAACATTATCCACATGTCGGGTCAAGTTGGTAAGCACAGGCCAAGACAAGTAACCCCTTTCCAAACCCTTCACTGAACATGTTCTGCATTCAATGAATTCAAGCTATTCAAAGATGGACTTGCAGCAAAAACCTCTCCAACTGACTTAAAAAGGGCTCCATTCTCAAATAATTCCCAAATCTCAAACATGCAAGTTCAGAATTTTTCTCCAACGTCAGCCGTAGAGTATATGAGGACGAACAAGACCAAAAAAAAGACCAGATTTTCCTATACCCAAAAACAGACTTCCGTTCTCAGGGTCCCAAAAAGTAAAAGAATTTTATAAAACTAAATATATTAAGTACCAGCATATAATGGTATTCAAAACTATCAAACAAGCTTCTTTTTTATCAAGTAGATCTAGATCTAGTATCATTTCATACAAAATCAAGCTCATTTGAAAGACTTTGTAGCCTATAGAAAAATGGAAGTCTTGTTTCCTGACTATCCTTTCGAGCTCCTCATGTCTAAGTAGGTCAATTTCTTCTATAATTTCATTGGACGAACATCTAGAGCTACCAACTTGGCATGTTTTGAATGAGACGTATGCCTCGATTACCAACCAACGCAGGCAGTTCTAGAAGAAGGCCACAAGAAACGCATACAAACTCAAGCAGACTGTCGCACACACACTTGACCTGCGTGAATGGGGATCCGACTCGGGACCCGAATTTCACTTAAGATGATGCGCGGTGCACGTGCGATGAGCCAGGGGCTACACTGATTCGGTACCAGAATGAAGGCGAGGTGCCGAAATAGGCTCATCGGGCAACATAAACCCGGCCCCCGCAGGACAAGGGTTAACGAACGAAACTACAAAATCACCTACAATAGGCCTAGAGGCTTAGAGTTGAAGCTGAGGCTTGGGTTAGGGTCAGGGTTAGGGGTAGGGTCAGATCTCTTCTTGATTTTATTTTGTTCGTTTGGGGAGATCGCTTGTTAAGGCTACGGAAGTCCTCAAACATTACCATCATACTATACTATACACTACAAGCTTCAGTATCACAGTACAGTAACAGTGTCTTCACTTCAGTCAGGTTACTGGATCTAGAGTAGATATCTAGATCTATCTGAAGGCAGACACTGGGGTACTGAAAACGCATTTCGCGGACTTAAAATGTAAATTTAAAAAAATATCATAGATCTAGAGTCTAGTATTAGAGAGGGGCAAGGATGGAATGGTGAGAGCAGTGGACAGTAGCTAAATTTAGCCTCGCCACGTGCACTAACACATGCATGAGAGACTCACTATTATTGAGTTGCCCCCATTCGCTGACATTACACTCAAAGTATCAAGGTGAACGTGGATACATGGTCCATAATATGAAAATCAAATACAAATATTCATTTTGAAACATTTTGATACCTTGCATCAAGAGCTTGCTCTAACATTTCCATGATATTCTATCCAATGTAAGGTTTGAATTTGCCTGGAGACACCGAGAGCTTGATCACGGGGCCAAACAAGAGGTCATGTGAGATGAAAACCTGAACATGTGACAAAAATGGCGTCTTCTTACTGCCCAACCTAGCGCAATGGTTTTAGAAAGTGAGGACTATTTCTTTAATAAATTTAGCTAAACCACATTTTGAAAAAGGATACGTCAGGCTATATCTAAGTATTTTAAAATAATATTTTATTTTAATTCTGAATGATTCGTTGATTTATAAAAGTTAAAAGTTCTAGTATATAGAATTATATTTCTATGCGGAGTTATAAAATTATGAGTGGAAGTTTCCGCAAAATCTCACGTGATCTGATCTTGAGGTGATGAATGAGAGAAAAAATACGTCCCCTTTTTTAGACTCCACTTCAAGGCCGACCCATTGTATTTGGATAGGTTCTTTACTTTAAAAAAAAGGGGGGGGGTTGTGGGAGGGCATCATGTGTACTTTTAAGTTATGCAGCCTTATAACAAGGAAGCACAATTATGGATTTTTAGGGAAAGGAAAAAGAGCGAAAAAATCGTCTAAGTTGAGATTGAAAATAGACCTAGCCTACATCAACACTGGTGTGCCTCGCTGGGTGTATGTGTGTGTGAGAGAGAGAGAGGGGGGGGGGGGGGGGGGGGGAGAGAGTTCTTGGTTTCACCTTGTTTTGTTTGGTTCTTTTTTAGAACTGTTATAGTGCGGTAAAAAATGCGTGGCGCAAAGTATCCTCAAATATCTTTTTGGGTTAGATATAATCAATGTCACCCATACTTTGAACAGCAAGTGCCTCAATTTGTCTTAACTTAATCATAGGCCTATTTTTCCACAAAAGTTGAGGCTAGATTTTTAAACTTTTCTTCATAAATTTATATAAAATAGGCCTACTACAAATCTCCTTCACGCGGAAAATGGAATTGTTCACAGAAAGCGAGTGACTGAAAAGATGGGCGAGAGGGGGCGAGAAAGAATAGCTGAGATCACAGAGAGAGAGAGAGAGAGAGAGATGATTAAAAGAGAGACAAATGATTAAGAGATGGAGAGGTGGGGGTGAGAGAGAGGGGGGGGGATAAAGAGAGAGGAGGGAAGAGACATGGGGAGGCAGAGGGAAAGAGATTTGAGAGAGAAAGAGAGATCTCACGAGAGAACGAAAGAGAGGGTGTGTGTGTGTGTATAAGAGAGAGAGAGAGAGAGAGAGAGAGAGAGAGACGGGGGGAGAGAGAAAGACAGAATAAACGAGAGACTGAACTACATGTTTTACGGTACAGTGGCGTCCAAAAGAAACTTGAAAATGTAATCACCCAATCATCGTGTTAAAGCCTTGCACTACCCACTCTTGCAGCATGCCAGTTTAAAGCTAAATAAATCCTGCATCATCTGACACAATATTATTTCACTTATGTTCAGAGATGCTCGAGTCAAGCTTTGCAAAATTGGACAAAATCAAAGAAACGTAGAAGTGTGTTCGCGCGTGTATTGAGTTTCATCAACGTTGGTGGAATGGATAAGTTTTCAATATCAAATGAAAAGAAAATTTTATCGTCTTTGCAATGAAGGGCACCTTCTTTTTTTATGCATTTTCAAATAAGTTAAAAAACAGATAACTTACAAATACCATGATGAACTTAGACTTAACATTGCATGTGCTCATTAAAATGATTTTGTTTTTGTTTAGGAGCTATTGGTCTTCTTGTAGAGCACAAACCTTTATGCACATGGCTGTGTGGGTTAGATTTTGGACGAATCATCTGTCAGTGAGGAGCAGAGGCCGAAACTGCCATTTTTGGGGGATGATGGTCTAGGACAGAAAGAACAAAATCGTCCGCATGTGAATCAACGGATGGCTTGCTTTAGTTGACTACATCGCGCAAGTGTTGGAATGTCATGTCTAACCCTTATTTCCCTCATGGTGTCATTCAAGTAGACATTTCCATTTATGGCGAATCACTTTCTCATTGGGCCAATATTATCAGGAGACAATTCTTGGAAAACAATATCATATCAACGATGGAGTAGTCACCAGTAAATAGCCTGATATATGAATTCTACAGGTATGTGAAATCCCATGAAACAGCAGCGGAAGAAAACTGACGTTGCTCCCAATTCAAACCCTTCGTGTGCAGCCGTCTGTGACATCTGGGATGAAATGACTGATAATTGTCCAACATTTAGAAGAGTCGGTGCACTACACCAAACCAATGTCTCCAACGCAAAATAACAATGAGCACATAATTTAATTGTAAGTCCAAGTTTTTGTGGTATTCGTGATTGCTCTGTTTTCTGTTTTGTTTGAAATTGAAACTGTCGACATTAAATTTATATTGTTTATTGCAGAAAAAAAATTATCCATTCATTGGATATAATGCAATGTATCTATTCTATCAATATTGATGGTCCCCTATACACGCGCGAAGACAACGTTTCTGTGATTTCGCACAATTTTGACAAACCTGAATTTTTAAGGTCAGTTTTGAGTGACCATATTATCATCTCGAGCATCTTTTATGAAATATTATTGTGTCAGAAGATGCACAATTTATTTAGCTTTAATTTGGTATGCTGTGTGAGTGGTCTGTTTTTAAAATTGTTTTTGACAAGTGAAATGATGAACACTGCCTTTGCTGATGATAACTAATTTCACTTTTTGTTTCAAGTATAATGATCAGTAATAACAGATACAGTGGAATCCTGATAAAGCCAACTCTTGCTTACAGTTTACAGTCAACACCTCACTGTGGTCCCGTTTCTTAATCTTACCTTCTTTGTTTAAGTGTTCCTGATAATGTACAGTCAACCACTTGAGTGTTAACCTAACGTAAAGTCAACAATTTAAAATTTGGGGTTAAATCCCAAGATGAATTCATTTAAGAAGAGCTATTTAGGTCCTGAGCTAGTGGTGAACACACCTCCAATTACTTTGTCCATTCATTATCTCTTGTTTTGGTGACAACTTTAGAATTATACCCAATGAAATTGAGCTACCATCTTGTTACCAGGCACTTTGTAATTTTTTAGCTAGCTGTCATCTTCAATTTACAATGGCGAGTAGTACAATGGATAAAGTCAACCTTCCTCAAAGTCAACACTTTTTTCGGTCCTAAATTCCACTGTAATTCGTTTTTTATTTGTAATTAAGGCGCTTTTGAAATAGACACGAGTCTCAATTTTTTCCTTTTATAAATTGGTAAGAAAGAGTGCATGCAATATTTTGCTTGAATGATTTACTCTGTTATTTTTTTTAGTAAATGCAGAACTGCATATTATTACATTATGGGCATACATATGATAATAATGATATATCCGTGTATGTGTTCAGCGCAATGTACCAATCTTAAGATTGCGCTGCACGTTTTAACGATCGTATAATTGCGTGGCAATCTTAAGATGGTCGGGCAATTTTATGATTGCGCTGCGCATTTTAATTGTATCATTCTTGTGAGCTCTTCAGTTTTTATATATCTAATTTTAATTTTAATTTTCATATTTTTGCACTTTTGAATTATTTATACATGTATACGTGAATGTTCCTTGATGTGAGTAAAAGAATAAAGATGGAAGTGAATTATACGATCGTTAAAATGTGCAGCGCAATCTTAAGATTGCCGCACAATTATACGATCATTAAAACGCGCAATCTTAAGCGCCGATCTGTAAATTGCGCGGAACATATGCATGCTCTTCATGAATATTATGTGAAGCGCATGGAACAATGACTGTAACATGGAATTGTGCTATATAAATGTCATATTATTAGTATTATATAAGCGAACATTGTAATACTACACAGGGGGGGGGCGCAAATGTAAGAAAAGTGTAAGGGGGGGGGGTGTCAAAAAGTCCCCAAAACGGTGTAAGATTATACGTGTATTTGAACAGCCCCTTAATGGTTATGGGTTAGGGATTTTGAGCCTGTTCAATTTTTCAATCCGTCAAAAGTTGTTCTCATGTCTGCTGATATTTCATGTTTGACAATTAGTGTCCCTGGTTTTAGTGATGTGCCAGCATCTGAGGTCCAGATGTAGAGCTACTTCTTGGGTTTTTTTGTTGACATTTTTCTTTCCTCTTCTACAGCTGAAAGGTTCAGAGATTATATTTTTTGGTTGTTTTTTTTTCTGATTGATGTGTATTGTTTTCTTTCCAAATAGCTACACAACAAATTACTGGTACCAATATGTTCTGTTTTAAATTTTTCTGTACATAAACCATGAAAATTCTTGTTGAAAAAGTGCAAAATATGTCGCGAATGGTGTTACGGTAACTTGCATAATTTTGCACTTTTCTTACATAATTTGGCAACCTATGTTTGCATAATTCTGCGGGGACAATTATAAAGGCCGAAGATTAGAGGAGTGACAAGAGAGTAACAAACACAAAAAAAGGAGGAGAGATAAAGACAATTGATGTTTGATAGGAAGGAAGGAGCAAACAACACCAGAGTACCCGGCAACCACCCACGGTTTCAAGTTTGAGCAAAGAGAAATATAATGCATTGACACAATAACGACCATCTAACGTACAGAAATAGCAAGACCGATAGAGAGAGAGACATCTACAGGACTACAGGCAACATGTGATTCTGGTTAGAAAAACTATCAATTAGCCAACAACAAATGTTTTACTGTTTATTTTCAATCTTCAAATTATTTATACTGTATATCAAAGCATGAATCCATCAATACAATTGAGCTGCAGGACTCAAAATAATCATATACAACTGAACCTGCTCAAATGACCACCTGTCCAAGACAACGACCTGTACAAAGAACCACTGTCCACTTTTACCCTTAAATCTTTTTCTATCCAAGCCTTTTTACTATACATGTAAAATGAAACAGTCCAAAAAGACAATCTGTCTACATGACCACTTTTCACCTTGACAATGGATGATGATCATCTTGGAAGGTTCGACTGTACACAACATGAAAGCAATTTGTACAAACAGGAAACCCCGGAAATTAAAGCGGAGCAAAGGAAAGGTAATGGAACAAAAAATGCAAACACATCTGAGTTTCAAAGACGTTTAAGTTTAGTTTTAGTAGAGGTTTTATGGCGCTCCTACAGCATAAGGTCATATATGAGAATGAGCGC